CCTTTATAGACACACTGATTTTTTTTATGTGCGATTTTCTTCTGGTTTTTTTTAATCAACTTTAACGTTGTATATCAACAAATAAAAGGAGTCCTTTCCTTTTTTATTAAAAAAAAAAGGTAATTTTTTCTCAACAAGAAGAAAACTGAAGTCTATTTTTCATTTTAGTTTTTTGATGATCAAGAAATGTTTTTTATATCATATTTAATCAAGGTAGGAAAACTAATATCTAATGTTTTATTAAGGTTAATATACGAGTAAAGTTGTTTTTTATTTTAATTACTCTAGATGACATACATCTTCGTTTCGTTTTTTTTCTTTATTATTGATGGTACGAACATATTTGTTAGCATTGTCAAAATAAAAGAATTATGAAAATTGATGATGATAGACAGTGACAAATGTGTAAGGTCAATTATCTTGACATAAGTCGACTTTTCGAGACAACATAATAAATAACAATATACTTGATTAGCATTGTACAAGATACTGAAACATTACTAGAATATAATTTTTATTTTATTTTCGAAGGTGATTATGTTGAAATTTTACGAAAAACAATAATTTTGCATTATTTTTCTTTTTAATGTTTTTTTGAAATAACTTTTTGATAATGATAGAAAAAAACTAATGTGTAGAGTCTCAAGAAAAATAAATTACTGCATTAGTAGAAGAAATTAATCTAAGAAAAAACTAATATCTACATTTGTCTAAGTAGATTATTCAAAGTACTTTAATCAAATTTATAATTTGGACTAAGGTATTTCACGTAACTTATTAATCTTACCAAAAATGAACTGTTCGACAAATCATTTTTTAAGTACCTATACTACGTATATTTTTCTCTAATTCTTTAATATATGTTTGTAGGTGTAAATGAGTTTGTCCTTTGAGTTTTTTTATTGTTTACCGAGCAGATGCCAAGAAATAGAGAGAGAAGAAGCAGACTTTGACGAAAAAAATCCCTGTGTCATCAGTCTATTCTCTTGCATTAGAAAAAAAGAACTGGCTAAGAGAACAAACTAGTTATTATAAGAGATGAGAAACAGCGTATATTCTTAGAATGACATTGACATATTCAAATTTAAGAAATACATATATCGCTTTTGTATTCTAATTGAAAACATTGTTTTCTATTTCAGATAATTAATGACCAATAAAAGCGATAGTATGTCAACATTAGTGGCTGTTGAACAATATATGTCAATATATGGACCATTTATTTTAGCTACACTTGGAATAATTGGTAATATACTTTCTATATTAATATTTTTATCACCTCGATATCGTCGACAATCGTCTCATTTTTATCTATTATCCCTTGCTTTATCTGATCTTTGTTTTCTTGTTATAAATCTTCTCGAAGATACATTTCGTAATCATAATGAGTTATATAAATCACGAATAAATTTTCTTGATCGTAGTTCATCTATTATGTGTATATTTGCTCAGTATATAAGAAATGAAACACGATTATTATCATCATGGATTATTGTTTCATTTACAATTGAACGTCTTCTTGTTGTATTTTATCCATTAAAACGTGGTATTATATGTCGTCGTAAAATTGCACGTTTTGTTGTTTTTATTCTTTTCATAATAACTCTCGTATGTAATATAAATGTTCCATTTCATTATGGAATAATTAATTTACCTAATTATTTACAAAATGATACGATCTGTGATATATTACCAAAATATCGTCCAATCTATATGAGATTTGCTATAACAACAATGATTACTGTTTATTTACTACCAATGTGTATTATTGGTTTTGTTAATATGCTTATTTGTTGTAAACTTTGGAGAAATAGTTTAGTAATGGACAAATCTGAAACTACGAAAGTAACACCAGGAAGGTAAAATCTCTTTAGTTAATTAATTTTTGTTGTTTTATATAGTTTCAATCGTAATTATTGATTTAGACTTGATGCATTTGCTTCAAGTCAACGTTCATCTTATATTACAGAAATTTTATCATGTATACATTTATCAGCAAGATCATCAGGATCACCATCCTTTGTAGCACAAAAACTACAATCAAGACGTAATTCATCATCAAATCAATATCAATTAAGTGGAAAATTATTAAATAATAATAAAAGATTATCACAGGTTAGTTTTTTGTTGAGAAAATCTGATGAATAATATAGAGTAGTTTAAAAGTAGCTTTACGATAAAAAAAAAATTGAATATCTTCACTCTGTTTTACTCTATGAAGTTAATTTTATTCTATTATTGAGGAGACTTCATAGTTTTGTTTTCCATAAGAACTCGATAACCTTTACAAGATCGTAATATTAATCTAAAATTTCGAAGTATATTTTTTCGAAACTTTTCTAAAAATGAACACTAGCAAGAATAGCGACAAATTACCTTCTACTTTTTACTTCACTCTCCTTAAGAAAAGTTAAATATTTATATTGACGACGAGAAAAGAAAACAATTGCGCATCATAGAAGGAAATATACAATCAAATATGCACGTCAAAGAACGAATGTATACAGATATAAATCTGTTAGAAACATCTTCAGCATTGCAAAAGCTAAAAATTTATTAATGAAGACAGTGATGATGCTTCAAGGCAATATTTATAAATGTTGTTTCTATAGAAAAACAAATTGTCAAGTATACTCTATCACGAAAAATACTTAGTCCTATAGAATAAAATAGAAAGAAGATATTCAATTTTTTTATCGCGAAGCTACTTATGAGTCATCCTATATAGATCTCGTTAAGTATGAAAAAGTTATAGAAAACAATCTCAAACAATCCATCAACAGCTCTTGACAAGGCTAACTTCTATTTCCATCTTTATGTATCCATGATGAAATACACATTTTCTTTATGGTCTATTTTTATCACAATTAAGAAGTTAATAACATATCTTTGTGAGACCCACTTATTGATAGATGCTAAAATATATAGAGAAAAAAATAAATATTCTTCTATAGCATAGATATTAAGATCTAGCTGAAGACAATAAAACTCATAAAGACTAAAATAAAAATCCATTTATAATGATTCATTTTTGAAATTCTACTTTTTTCGGCACAAAGAAATATTTCTTATTCTAAAAGAAAAAAAGTAAAAGATTATACAGAAAGAGAGAATAACAAAAATAAAAATAAAAGGAAATCTGAAATAAATAATCGGAAATGAATATGTTATCTTTTTAGATATTATTTAGAAAAAGACTTTTATTTTTAAATAGGGTAATGGTTTCTTAGATGTTGAGGCAATTCGATCACGATCATCATCACGTTCTTTATCAAATTGCTCGGTAAATTTTCCTAATCAATCAAAATCTTCATCAAGTACAGTAAAAACTCATATTCAATCACGTACACATCGTGTTACTGCAACATTATTACTTGTATCTTGTTCATTTCTCTTATTAAATACTCCATATTGTGCAGTATGGATTGCTAATTATGTTCATGGTTTTACTAATATGACATTAAAATCAATTAAAGAAATAACTGAATTATTTATGTTAACTAATTTTTCTATTAATTTTCTTTTATATTGTGTTAGTGGAAAAGTTTTTCGTAGTGCACTTATTTGTTTACTTCGTTGTCATTGGAAAGAATTATATGATAGAAATGAATGTGAACGTATGATACAAAGAAAACTTCGTCCAAATCTTAAAATTCAATTAAATGAAACGAAATTAAAACCACGATATTGTTCTCTTCTTCGAAATAATCAACTACATCATGTAACAACATCTTCATCAACAAATTCCAAGTGCTTAGTTTTACATAAATCATCACGATGAATAATAAATATTGTATTAGTGTGAATTCTATTTCTTCATTATCATTTAATTATGATTATTGTATGTGTGTACATGTTTTATTTTTTGAAAACAAAAAATTGACAATTTTGTTTCTTAATTCGAATTACAATAAGTTAAGCACTTAAACAAGAACAAGACAGATTAATTTAATGCATTGAACTGAAGATATTCTTCAGAATTTATTGAATAGAAGTTCCTTGTTTGCTTCTACTTATTTTTTTAGCATCACATAGATTTATGGGAACAATAGAAATGATATGATCCTGTCGGATACGATGATTACCCTTCATTTGAAAAGTCAATTATATCGTTTTGTAGAGTAATTCTTGATTTATCGAATAATATATTAGGGAACATTCTATTATCATCAAGTCCTAATGATAGGAGAAAAAATATACCAATTGATGAATACGATAGCAAACGCGGTTAGCATGACCGAAATATGATAACTCAAGATGTACCCGAATCAATCTATATAAAAATTATCTGTAAAGTAAAATTAATGGAGTGTTGTCTGATCTTCAATCATGCATATCTAATAATTCTCACAATAGTTTTCTTGATACCCAACACTTTAACATTTTCCCTAGGTTCTGTAATTATTGTTGTGTGTTATAAAGCTTTTTAAGTATATCGATTGATTGTTCTCGGAATTGAAGTATGTCAAAGTCAAATAGGCTAATCAATGGCGAAAAAAGAACAATTGTTCGATTTTTATGGTAAAAATAGTATATCAACTTTGAGATAAATACTTTTTAAGCGAAAATGTTTCTATCTAATTATAATAGACTCATCATGTCATATCATTTAACTTATATGAATCTTTCGAATGTATCAAAAAATTTTTCGCTTTCATATCTCGAAGGAAGATACAGAAATGCACTATTACAAAGATTAGGTTTTTCTTATTTTGTTCATTACGAGTTTAAATGCTTAGTAGCCGAGTGTGGTTAGAATATGGAGCTCTATTAGATTCAATATATATTCATTCTCTTATGCAAATTAATAATTTCGTATGTTCATGTACTCTCCTTTAGAGATCCGAAAATGAATTTTTTTTTTGACATTTTCGAAAGATTCATATAAGTCAAATGACAGAACATGATGAACTTATCGTAATGAGATAGAAACTTTTTCGTTTAAAAATTATTTATCTCACAGTTGATATACTTTTTTTTTCTCTATAAGAATAGAATAATTGGCTGTTTTTTAAGCATTAATTAGTCTATTTGACTTTGACGCACTTCAATTCAGAGGAGAGCTTCGTGGCACACAACAATAAGTACAGAATCTAGGAAAAAATGCTAAGATTTTGGGTAACAAGAAAACTATTTTGAGAATTATTAGATATGTATGATTGAAGATTAGATAAAAACTCTATTGATTTATATTGAAAGACAATTTTATATAGATTGATTTCAACACATATTGAACAATAATATTCGTTACAGCTTTCTATTATGCCATTCGATGCATCACAAGAATTGCTCTACAAAATAGCAAAAATGATTTTCAAATGAAAAGGTAATCATCTTATTCGACAGAGTGCTTTATTTACCTCAATGAAATGATATGATTAACATTTTGATTAAAATTTTTGTGACTTATTATTACATGCAAAATTTTTTAATGGATTTCTAATTTACGTAATATGACAGAAATTTTCATTCATACGGAATGATTTTCATACTTGACAACATTAATGCAAATATGTATTAACATTTTGATTAGTTTAGTATTGTTTCATTATATGATCGAAAAATAAAGATCATGAAGAATATTTTACATATGAAGATAGAAAATAGAATAGGTTAGTCTTGTTTCAGAAAATGCATATCTATCGATTCTATTCAAGAAGAATATATAGAACCTTCAACAGTGTTAAGTACAAAACAATATATGAGTGATACGTTTTCTTAACGGTACCCGCTTTTTTTTTTACAACTTTTCCTGACTCTCGAAAGACGGTGCAATGAATCTGCATGAAATTTTAACTACAGATAGAGTATCTAAAATAAGGAGAAATCTGCTTAAGGAAATCAATTTTAAACAAATCTTTCACGGTTTTTTGGTAACTCAGGGCTTTCTATAGGGTAACATCGAACTGGCTTACGCGACTTCCTCTTAACTTCGTTCGAGTGGGCTTAAATTTGGACGACAAACACATTTGAAAGCATTCTCCAACGATGAAATAGGCGGTTTTCGTTTTTGATTTTCCTATCTGAATTTATAGAGGATTGAACGCCAGCACTCTGGTTTCGGATCCGAACCATTACGTATTTCTTTCATAAAAAGAAGAAAGTGAGATTGCAGAAAAAGCGAAAAATCGCCTCTGAGATATAGTTTGAGATATTTCAAAAAAAAAGAATTTTTAGCCCTATAGGACACAGTTAGACGAGGATCGTAAGCAGACCCGATGTGGTTCTATGGAAAGTCAGAGTTTATCGAAGAAAAGATACGAAAACCTTGCTTAAAATGTTTTTTCTTACGCACATGTCTCTTTATTTTAGGTCATCTATGTGTAGTAAAGTTTCATACCGACTGGTTGTACCTTCTTCTAGAACGAGAAATGGTTAAAAAAGATGAGAACCACCCTTAATAGTAATGAAAGTCTAGAATCTAAACTAATAACACTAATGGGTAATATAATCATAATTATTAATAAAGTAATAAGTAATAAAACGATAAGAATGAAAGTAATAACTGTTATTACTAACTACTATTAATAATTCATAACCACAAAAATAGTAATAAAGTAATGCTAATGTAGCATCCTTCATACGAGACTACCTTGAATAGAGTATGTCATTTAGAAAATGCTCATTTGATAATTGTTACATTGTTTACATATATTCGGTGGTAATATGAAAGAAAAGATCTATATTTGTGTATCATTTGCATCATAAATACTAATGAAAAATCAACAAAGATAACAAAAATTTCCTTTAAACAAACGAAAGAGTATTCATTATTTTATTGTTCATTCATATTTTTATTTATGTATACGTATTTGTGTCAGCTAATTTATGAAAGTTCAGTTCTACTTCGTTTCTCGATAATTGATCTTATAGCTAAGAAAACATTTGATGTAATTATTGAAGTTATTTCAACGTCCATTGTTATAGATGCTGTTCTGAAAATTTTACTATAAAATACATAAAATAAAATTTATTCTATTTTTTAATCATCGTTGTCGTTGCTCGTAACTAAACATACATCTTTAACGTCATTATATCAATCATATATTAATATCAATAAAATTTAAACAACAAGAACAGTTTTTTAACAATTATCCAATCTAATGTTTCTTTTAATTGCAATGAATACTACATACGCATATAAAATATTTGGTTGAATTTATTCCATAAGGAAGTAAAAGAAATTGCAAGATTAGAAAGTTAATAGCTTATTGTTATTATTATTAAAAAATTACAATTTGAGAGTGAATCAATGTTAATAAATACTAGGAAAACATAATTAAAGTACGAAATAACAAATTTCTATTTGATTTGAAAACTTTAGAATGAACAACAATAAATAGACTAGTGAAATCGTTAAACTACACAAATAAACAAAATTGTGCATTGTTCTGTTTGATATGACTGTTTCCTAGAGACTTAGACTCAATGTAAAAGTCTTGATGATGTTTCATCCATATTGGAAGAGAAGAGTTGATGACTCAGAGGGCCGATTGGAAATTTTTTCCTAAAGTTGAATGGCTTTGGGGATTATCATCTTCTACGGAAATATGTGAGCAACAAGAACAATAAAACGTTGAAACTCTTCTGGTGAGAGACGGAAATTTTTCAAGATTGGATGAACTCATGCCTTCGACTCCTTCACTCTGAACACATCTGGCTCCATTATCACGTTTTTTTCTTTGTTAAAAGATACTATAGTCAATGTGAATGGTAGTGTTCCAAAGATAGAATCATGTTTACTAGGAACTTCATTATTGATCTTATGGAAACACATTTTTAACAAATAAATTGTGCTTGAAATTCACTACAAAACTAAAAAATGGCGTGATCAGAAAATTGTTCCAGACATGTTTGAAAACCATGAAGTGTCAACATCTCTAAAAATCAAATATGAAGTTAAAGATGGGTCAGCAAAAATTTTTTTTTATACAGTAATTCGGTTGCATTGAGAACGATTAATTTATAAATATAAAGAAACGATCAACAACGCTGACTCTATTAATTATGTCATGTTTTTCTGGTACTTTGCACTCATTTCAAACGACAACCAACATTACAATAGTAGAATAGTATTTACATCAGCAGAAACGGATGTTGACAAGGAAATTGATTGTTGAAACAAGGAGTGTACTGCTGATATTTCACGAAGAATTCGGTTGTTTCATATTCAAGATGTCAAGAAGTGAAGCATGGATTCACTCCACAAAAAAGAGCTAATTTTGCGAAATGAGTATTAGTAAAATATGATTAGGTTTTACTCGTATTTTCTTAAATAAAAAATGAGATGCGGATCATTTTCTTGCATTCATATTGAATAATTGTTGGTTGAGGACTTTGTCTAGTTTAAATCTATTGAGTTAAAGCATAGGAAACAAACGTGATGAAGCTATAGGCTAGAATCATATGACAACATAGTCAACACTAATAAAAGAAATTCTGACGTCTTCATTACAAAGTTGAAAAACACGAGAGACAAACAATCCTATTGTCGAATTTTCATTCAGATTTGATTAAAATTTGATAGATGTACATTGGAAGTTGTAGAGATTTTAGTCGGATCCGATGATCAGAATTCAATAGCATTTATTCTAACGACTATCGACAGAATCGAATTGCAATCATCTGCATCTGATAGGATCTGACTGACAAACATCTACAAGACTATATTTGTTACATGAAATGTAACATTTTATGAAGAATTTCAATAGACATCTTTGGAGAAAAATTCTTTTTTATTTATCCAGTGAATAATAAAAGAATTTTTTTTTAAATATTTAC